ACCCCCCCCCCCCCCCCTTCCCACCCAAGCAACCTCTTCCGACGCAAATAAGCAAAAATAAGGTCTCCTTTCTCCGCCGCCAACTACGCCGTCCACTTTTCCGGGGAAAAGGGGGACGGAGAATCCATGCCCCAGGCTGGCGCCGTTGCCGAAGATTGGCTCGAGGCAGAAGCGCCGGTGTTCGAAGAGGCGGCGTCGTTGGACTCCGCCGTTGCCGGCGTCGCCCCCGCCGCTGCCGCCGGCGCGGAGAGCACGAGCGACGCCACCGGGCCGGTGGGAGTCGAGCGCGAGGCCGTTGCCGGCGCGGAGAGATCTTGTGCGGAGGGCGCGTTGGACGCTGCGCCTCCTGTACGGGGTGGGACAAAACGAAGACGAGAGACGTGTCATCACATTACGGCAGAAGAGTACAGCAGTAACGGCGACGACGCGGCGGCGAGGGGGCGTGTTCGTCGCTTTCGGAGGGGCGAGCCATCAACGGCAGCAGCTACTACAAGCGGCATCTGCGCCAAACAGAAACGTTGCAGCGTGAGGCGGTGGCGAAAATGTGTTTTTTTTTATGCTTCTTTTGCAGAAAAAACCAAGTACACTTGTATACCGCAAGAAATCCGAGGCTGCCCGTAAACGTGACAAGACGCTAGTACAGATATGATCGTCTTGTCTCTTGGGCTCGACAGGGGGTGTACTCATGTAAACGCATGCCGTAGTCTTTAGACCTCGCATCCCTGCAATGCTGGGACGGAGCGATATGGCGTCATGGTTTTCGCCAGCCCAGGCTCACAACGATGCACCAGAGGCTCAAGGGGTATGTTCAACAAGGGACTGCTAGCTGCAATGGGGCGTTTTCGTCGAGCGGGATGTACACTGTACCTGCGAACCCGTTGGAGTCGGGTGCGAATGACCACGGCATGGCCTCGCCCATGTCCACGTCCTCCGCATACAGCGCGTCTAGGCCGGCGGCGGCGGCTTGCCCTACAGACATAAGCCGAAGGAGGGACACGGGGTACGGTGGACAGGGATACGGCGCGAGGGCGGGGGAGGGGTCATTTCAGCGTGGCGAATCCAAGAGCATGCAGTTCTTGGGTGGTGGCAGATTAACAAGCAGCAGCACGTGCTTCGACTTCGACGTCGACATCACAAGAGCACTATTACTACAGAGGATTATCATCGGTTGCACAAGATACCACACCCCCTGGAACCATCTTCAAAGCTTCATTCAGTACTCCAAGACGACTTGGATGCTGAAATCAAAGCATATGTCGGGAAAGCTCTCCAAGAGACGGTTCCAGTGAGGTCATTTTTTTGTCATTTTTCTGTCCACCACTTCTTTTCCTGCCGAGTAATCGAGCTTAGAAAATCGGATCAGGGGGTGTGATATCTACCTTACGTCACGCAACCTTCGGTATCATCTTCGCCGGTTTCAAAACTGCAGGGTGCAGCAGCAAGCGAGCACGTCACGGCCGCAAGGAACGCTTCAAGAAAAACCAACGCTCGGCGCGGCGAGGGGGCAGAGTCCAGCAAACTATCCTACCACGACTGCACACACACACACACACACACACGGGGCAACCAAGCAACAAGAGAGTCCATGGGCACGGGGGAAACCACGCTTGCAACTTGCTCACCAGCTCTCTCTCTCTCTCTCTCTCTGTGTGTGTCAGTCTGTCTCTCTCTCTACCTCTCTGTCAGTCTGTCCCTCTTTCTCTCTCTATATATATCTGTCTCCATCATCGCTCTCTCACCCATCGAGGCATCCCCGCCGTTGTCGCCGCCCATGCTCGCGCCGCCCGAAACAAGCCCCATCCCCGCACCGACCCCAAATCCTCCGAGCGGACCCACACCCCCCCCACCCCCGAAGGTTGAGAGTCACAGCGGGACGAGGTTACCAACTGACCCACTTGCACCAACAGTTGTAGTCGAAAGTCACACTGTGC